GGGGGGGGGGTGGTGGGGGTTGTCAGGGGTGGGGAAAGTTTGGGAACATGTGCATTGAACAGGTAAACAGCCATTGCTGGTATACCTCTACTAGCCAACTTTCTGTTTTGCAAGGTTGAGAAGTAAAACTTTAGGACAAAATTATGTTATATACTATACAGACAGTTATGAAGAGTTCACATCCTTAACATCTAGAATTCAGGGTTTCTGGATATTCAAGGTTTTTACAACACCAGACAAAGAACAACAGTTAAAAGATCAGAAAGCACATTAACAAAAATTTACAAGAACATTACATTACTTCAGATGGACAGTGGCATCAAAAGATCAAGATAATGGCATTGCTCAAGGCAGCACTTCCTTCCACTTGAACATTGGTTATTTGTTATGGTTGTTGTTATTGTTAAACTTTAAGCCTCCAAGACCCAGTTCAGACGTCATGCTTCTGCTGTGCAGAACTTAATTTTATTAAGGCCTGACTATAGCACAGCAGGAACCCAACTGATTCAGATGTCGTGTCAGCTCTAGTCATACCAGATTCACGATTTACTGAAGCCACGTAATTGTTCACCTTGTAACTCCCCGCAAAAACGTAACTCCACTAAAGTACATTACAGTTCAACATTAGGTGAGCCAACCTCGGGAAATTGGATAGTGGCTGCTTAAAGGGGGTTGGCTGCTTAATAGAGGTCAAAACAACAGTAAAGCCCTCATAGGGACTTTGATTACTGGCCACCTAATACGAGTGGCCATTTAATAGAGGGGGACATTGGGGGGTTCTGAACACCACGATACCGCAAAAAATTCAACAAGTACAACAATATTGCAAAAAAAATCGTCAAATACCGCAATACTTCAAGACCAAGTTAAAACTCGATGTTGTGTCGAAACCAGTGCTCTGTATGTTAAGTTAAGAGCAAATATAGCAATTAAAAATTTGTTAATGAACGTTGAGTAAGGTTATTTTCGATTTACACAACATAATCAAAATAAGTAACATCCATTGGCATGCCGGCTAATAATTAATGGAAATACCTTACCCTTTTCCAATTGCAACACAAGGAATTGCAGTTTTCTGTTGCCATGAGAGCTAAGTTTCATTGGGAATGTCCAGTCGGAAACTGGAAAAGGCTCGGAAAATATTGGAGGACTTCAAGGATAATTTCTAATACTGTCCAAAATGCTAACAAATTGCATCCCATAGGTTTGGAGAAAACTGCAATAGTGCATTTTGAGATTAAAATTACTGAAAAACTGCAAGAAAAAATTTCCAATACCACAAACCTTAATGTCCCCCTCTTAATAAGGGGTCGCTTAATAGGGGTTCGACTGTGATGTAATTTTTGAATTTTGTTTGGCGCAGCAGAAGCACAATGTTTGAATCGCTGCCGTGCCAGGGTCATGTAGCATGGCAGAGCTTTTAGAACTTAATTGCTTGCTGAACTTAATTCAAAAGTTAGATTCAGATGCCGTACTTCTGCCTTGCTTTTGTCAAACTTAATTCCTGAATGTAGTTTGGCATAGCAGAAGCATGACGTCTGAACTGGGCCTAAATAATTATTGGTTTGAATTTTGTGCCTTGTGTCAGATTGTGAGAATGAATACGATGTAAAGGAACAGGAAAATGAAACTGGTTTGAAGATCTTCAAACCAAAAGGAAATTATAACTGTAATTTGTATAATTGTGAAAATATTATATGTGGTGTTTACAGCGACAATGTCATTATGAACAAGGATAGTATGAAATATTTACATATCTCTACATCTGTAAAAAAGGCAAGGCAGTTTGTATTTTAAATTTTTTATAATGGTTTGTTATGTTGACTCTATATCTAAAAAAAAATTTTGTTACTATATGGATTGTAAATTGCCACCTGGAAATGAGAGGCAATCATTTCTTTATTCGAGGGACGTGAAAATTTATACTTTCCGTAACTTAAGTTTATACAAATTAGAGAGAAGTTTATACCACAATATTATGAATTAATATATATACTGTATATAGACATTTTTGTAATTTGGTTGCAAATTGTTTATTTCCACTTGTAAATGACTGAACAGATCTACATCATCAAGTTTCTTTCAAGCAAACTCTATTCTAGTCCAGTTCTGGCCCTTTCTCTGCCACACAATCGCCTAAGCTCTAGCTTTCCAGGCATGGTCAGTGGATAAATATCAACATCAGAAATCAACTCGCCAATTGCTATTGATTGATATCGGCAATCAATAACAATCAAACTCACAGAGAAATCTATTTATCGATTGCTACTGATTGGCAAAAATCAATAACAATCGATAATTCCTGTCTTCAAGAATATTGATTGGAAAAAAATTGACATTAACCACCCGAACTATTCAAAGATGGCTTTGCTATTGTGTAAAATAATACCTGGAACGATGCGAGATGTTCAACCTCAGCATGCTACTAGATTATATTTTCCTTTTGACCTACTCCGAGATCTATCTTTACATTTGTTTCCTTATACAAATATTTGAAATCACTATAACACTGACTTTGTTTATCGTACTTCATCTTTAGTTAATGCCGACGCTACAATGAGATTGGAGGGTTTTCTGCTGCTACTCTGGGCTAAGCTTTTCCGGTGATGTGTAGCAAAGAAAGATGTAAAGCCCAAAAAGTTTCTGCCAGTTGTTTCTGTTCTTGTGATTTTATCAGTGATTGTAAAAGATACACAGACTATGATCAATTGACTTAATAAAACCATTGTAGACAAATTTTGTCAAACATTTTATCGGTGTAACTTGTAGAAGGACAAAAATAATCTGCGATAACAATCGATAATAATCAATACCAATCGATGAATCAATCGTCGTTGATTACTATCGGCAATATTATTGATAACTCACAACTTTTTTCGGTTCATCAATTTGCGATTGCTATTGGCAATCGATACCAATCTTCGATTGTTATCGATTGCGGTAATATTGATTATCAGTTCATTGTTTGACTATGCCTGGAGCTTTGTGTGACAGAAAGAGGGCAAGAACTAGACTACTTTGATTCTAGAAGTGTAGCTGTGATTGTAATTGAGAGTAATAATAATAGGAAATTTGCAGTGGTATTTCCACAAAGTGGCCCTTTACAGTAGTCCAGAGGTAGTAGGAGAAAGAAATACAGGCTTAGGGATATATCCTGTTTTTACATGTCATAGTTTTTATGCACCTTGACTCATTTCCCTGTTGCATGTTGCTTACCCAAAGACTCGCAAGTTATGTAAGCCTCACTCATAAACAGTGGTATCTGCAGTAGCCTAATAATTAGTGTGCTAGATTTGGATTGAGTGGTCAGGGTTTGGTCCCATACTATGCAAACACCTGGCCTCTCTCCACTAAGGTGTATGGGTACTGAAAAATTCAATGCTGGAGGTAACCCTGCATTGGACTAGCATCCCATCCAGGCAGGGATAGAACTACTCCTTGCCTCTTCCTGCTTGGGAAACCAGAGATCAGTGTCCCCCTGATGCGTTACTAAGTTTAAACACAAGTGGCAAGTGCAATTAAGTTACTCTGGGATTAACTTTCGAGACATTTTTGGGTGGAGGGAGGTGTGCTCTTTCCACAATTCTATGATGTCTGGAAGAAACAGACCTGTACATTGTGCCAAGTTTCCCATG